CAGCAGCCAGAGTATAAAATGTTAAGAGACGTAATTTTTTTTTTACATGAAACCAGAAGAAAATAGTTTTATCATTGAGGCAAGTATTTCAAAACGCAAACCAATCGATGGTTATTTAATATATAAAATTCTCGTGTCGCGGTGTTTGTTACCAAACTCCTCCGAAACGGCTGAACCGATCTGTATGAAATTTTGTGTGCATATCGGGTAGGTCTGAGAATCGGCCAACATCTATTTTACAAACCTCTAAATGATAAGGGTGACCCCAACCCTAGATATTTTGTAAATTTTTTTGACAATTTTTTTTATTTTTATTTTATTATGATTTAGCATTGAAAAATACATAAAACTTCAAATTTTCACTCTTCTACGATCAACCCCTGTTATTTAATCGCGATTTTTAAAACTAAAATATATTTCCTAGAAATAATGTATATGGCAAAAACAACGTTTGCCAGGTCAGCTAGTATCTATACATATAATAAATATTTATATAATATTGTTTGTTAAAGATATTGCAGGACCGGTTCGCTATCAAGGAAGTATTTCATAAAAAGGCCAAGAGCATACAAGGAAACGTTATGGTTCCGTTGTTAGTTATAATTGAAGCGAATACCTCGTTAGTCTAGTGGTTGTAAACGTGACTGCTGATCTGAGGTTTGAATCCCGGGTCGGCCCAAATTCAGTTAGTGGATTTTTCTGTCAAGAAATTCTCAATAACAGCCCGGTGTCAGAAGTTGGTGGTAAACACCGTAAGCCCGGCGCCTGATTTCGGTCCGTTTGGATTTTCGTCCCATCGGAATATTAAAGTGAGGGAATAGAGAGTGCACCTCTGTTTGCGCTCACACTCGTGCACTACAGTCCTGACTTTTCGCAGACTACCAGTCTCCGTTGAGACCGGCCGCTGTGACCGAAATTCGGCCTCGAGGACATAATTAAATCGGAAGAATTTGCGTGTAATAGTTAATTTTACGTGGTAGAGCCATGCTGCAGCCATATTAAGGTTGAAGCACGAATGGGTCGGCTCGATCGGGGCAGGACCACGCTCACACAGAATACTAGTGTGAAATAGAAGCTTAATGCTGCTGTGTTTCGTATGGTCAGTGTAGAAAACCGGAGACGATCCCATCTTTGTCCTCTGGGGTGTCAATGCATCTGCATTTTGATACTTAATTGAGTATAAATGTAGATGTCTATGGGCCACAGTATATCGTTACTATCAGGTACACTGTGAGCTTATTTATTACCTTTATTCCACAATAATTAAAAAAATTGTACAACCGACTACAATATAAATTATTATGAATAACTCAAAAGCTATTGGTCAGAACTTGATCAAATTTATATGGGACCACATGAGAATCACCAGCTTTCAAATAAAAAAAGAATCATCGAAATTGATTCACCCGGAAAAAACCGGCTAAGTGCGAGTCGGACTCGCGCACTGAGGGTTCCGAACAAATCCATAGGTATATAAGTATAAAATTATTAAAAATATTTTTACTATATGATATAACTAAAAATATATGCTTTTTGCAATTTTTCCTTTATCTGTGCTATAATACGTTGCTTCGTACCAAGTTTTAAGACTCTGAGTTCACGGGAAGTACCCTGTAGGTTTTGATTTCCTTGCGAATGTTGAAAATTTGCGCCATAAACGGCTGTATCTTTTGATTGCGTTGGCTTAGAAGTTTGATTTTTTCACAGCTCCAAGGGACAGTAGAGTTGAGTACTTGATATGAATTTCAGCTTGATAACTCCACGCGTTCTTGAGAAAAAGGCTCTTGAGAGACAGACAGACAGACAGACAACAAAGTGATCCTATAAGGGTTCCGTTTTTTCCTTTTGAGGTACGGAACCCTAAAAAGTTATGACGTAACACACATTAAAAAAATATACAGTCGAATTGACTACTACCTCTTTTGATGTCGATAGAAAAGAAAAAAAAAAGATTGCAATCAAACCTCGGTTTACAAATAGTTGTGATTCCCCTAAAAACTTTTTCTAATCCTAGTATCTATTGTTTACATACTTTTAAAATGTTTAATAAAAATACGTGTGACGAAATGTAAAAAATGTTAACCTACAACACCAAGATGATTTGTGGTCAAGCAGGCGACCTCTCTCGCGATGGTGAAAGGTTTTGCTTACCGCACTGATAGTAATGAGCGCGGGTGCGCAATTTTTTGGCTAAGCAGTTATATAAAAAAAATTGGTGTTATATTGAGTGCAATAAAGTTGTTTATAACGGTCCGGACGGCTGGTAATGACGCGAAATACGTACGAAGTCGTTGCATCACTAAATAAAGGCAACATTTCACGATTTATTTTTGTCTTTCATTTTCAAAAGTCCACTGCTGTAAATAGGCCTCCTCATAGATTCCCTCATAGGGATATTTTTTATAATTACCACGCTTGGCAAGCGGGTTTTAAGCCGCAGTTTTTATTTTTTTGTTGACTTATTAGGAAGACACTGCTGTCCATCAACCGGTTTGTTTCCTTTTGTCACCTGTTATGACACCCAAGGGACAACATATAGTCGATATTCATACATCGCCACTACCCGGTCATTTTCAAAGAATAGTTCTAAATGAAAGCAGAATGAATAATCTACATTATTGTATTAACTTTTTTATTCAGATTTAGGTGACATACGAGCACACTGTCCACCTGATGGTTAGTGGATGCTGTGGCCCATAGACATCTGCATTTATCTTTGATTAAGAATCAAAATGCAGACGCGTTGTCACCCGTGAGGACTAAGATGGAATGCCTCGTTTCCAGTAAAAAGGGTCTCCGCTTCTCTACACTCACCATACGAAACACAGCAGCATTAAGCTGCTATTTTACGCCGGTATTCTGTTAGAGCGAGGTCCTTCCCCGTTCGAGCCAACCTATTCGTGCTACAACCACGTAATTCTGCTAGGTCCCCTTTTACTTTACATATGATAGGGCGATGGCTCGCCTTATGCTACCGCTTATTTGACATGTGGTCCTTGACCGGCCAAGGTGACCTGTATGAATTTGTACTGTAGCCATAGCTTAGCTGCAATCTGGCTTCATAAAATAATGTTTTTTGAAGTATACTGTTAAATGTTAAAAAAAATTATTTATATGTAAGGGTTAACGGCACTTATAACTAATATGTATGCGTCTGACCTTGTATGACCCCAGGATAGTCAGTTAACATACAATGCTGAATAGTTAAACTTGATTTTAACCTCTGCTATTTACAATGTGAAATAATAATAGTCATTACCGGACAAAAGTGCAGGTGACACTAAATTTTTACATAAAATAATATGAGAAACACTTGTTACATATTCTAATATTAGATATATGGTATAAATATAAATACTGCCAATATTTATTTAAGCATTTTTTATGTTTTGCTTGCACTGTTTTAGCAAGGTCTGCACCATATCTTTCCCTGTTAACATTGTAAAATGAATCATAATAATATTTTTAACAATATGAAAGTTTTACTTTTAATTGTACCTAATAAGTGATTTATGAAAGCAGATGGTTTAAGCTAAATGCTGCATGTTTCTCCCCGACTTCAAAAAAGGGGAGGTTAACAATTCAACTGCATGTTCTTTCTTTTGTATATATACTACAGTCAATTTTAAGCCAATTTTGATGATCTATTAACACGACATTATAATATTCATTAGTCCACTCAAAAGGGTAAAAAGTCTGTTAAACATTTTAACTTTAATGAATTAAAAAAATAATTTCCTGAAGTTGAGCTAAAACAAAGAAAATAAGAATAAATTGGCAACTTTTTTTAAACTGTTGATTATCATTAGACCGAGAGATGATAGTTGTTATATTATAGACTAATTTGTGTCGATTTCAATTACTGAAAATACTTTTATATTATAAGAAGATTTAGTTTTATTTGTAAAAACAAACCCTTAAAATCAACTTATAATAGATGTATGTTTAATAATTATAATACTTTTTTGGTAGGCTGATATAATTTAGTAAGTAAATCATTAAAACAGTGGCATTTTTTGATTCATTTTGCTTCTAAATTTAATAGAAAAGTTTTTCAGTGACCACACTGTATTTGTCAACATGGAAAACTGTGCATAGAATTTTTTAAACAACTAGATTTTTTTATAGGATAGAGTGATAAACGAACACACAGTCCACTTCATGGTAAGTGGTTGCTGTGGCCCATAGACATCTACATCTATCCTCGTTTGCGAATCAAAATGCAGATGCGTTGTCACCCATAAGAACTAAGATGGAATAAAAATAAAATGCCTTTTTGCAGTAAAAAGGATCTCCGGTAATCTACACTCACCATAGGAAACACAGCAGAGTTAAGCTACTATTTTACGCTGGTATTTTGTGAGTGTGGTCCTTCCCCGGTCGAGCCGAACCATTCGTGCTACAACAATACTACTAATAAAGCTGCAACATATCTCTACCACGTATAAATATACGCGGTATGCATTGTATTACTTACTTACATAGATATATACATAGGTTTATGTCTTTAATTCCCGAGGGTGTAGGCAGAGTTCGAAAAGCAGTGCAAAAAATATGGGTTTTAATGGAAAATTGTGAAAACGTCATAGGTGGCTCTAGCTCATCGCATACACCGTCACAAACCTTATATCTCATTAGTCGCTTAATATGACATGCTAGGCAATTAACACAGTTGGCACATTGTTCTTTAACCCCCGGCGAAAAAGAAGGGTGTTATATGTGTAACTGTCTGTGGCATTGTAGCTCCCAAATGGATGAACCAATTTAGATTTAGTTTGAGAGTATTCTTAGCTATGATTCAAGAAAATATTTTCAGCCATTTGAAGATCACCATCTATTTTTGTCTCACGGGTTTTTTTAATTTTCATTATAATATTATTGTTATAAGTCCCACATAAACATGCCACATAGTATAAGTCCCAAGCCCGCATGGGTATTACATTGTATTATAGGCAGTATTTTGAGTTGACATATCATAAATATGTATGAAATCTACTTACCCTTCAATTAATGTTGTGTGCTGAATGAACCACAAGTCACACATTGTTCTTGATATCAGGGACATGGCTATTAACACCATTAATCCACTTTCCTTGGACCACACCTCTGGCACCATAATCTTCCATAGTGCTTTCAATTCAGCAAAAAATCTTGCATCTACTTGGGCCTTTGGTCCTTTTTTGTTTTTATCTTTTATCATGTATTGCACTCTTTCTTCGGGTGAAATCTGTCCTGGTCTTGTACATCTTGGTTGTCTGTAAATAAATGATAATATATATATATATATATATATATATATATATATATATATATATATATATATATATATATATATAATACTTGGAGAAAACCCGCGCATAGTTAGTTCTTGCCTCATTTGAAACAAAATAGACGAGACAACATGCATGTTTACATTACATTTTAAAGCATGAAATTTTCTAAGCGCTCGCAGTAAATTTCACAGTACTAGAGCAAACCAGGTTTAATATCCGCTTGCACCAATGAAATTGTTAAATGCAATTTTAAGTGCCGATTTACCACATGCTTGGCGGTGAAGGAAAACATTGTGAGGAAACATCCATCTGAGAAATAAGACAAAAGAAATATTTCAAAGACATGTGAAGTTCGCCAACATACATTGGGGCATTTTGTTGCCTTAAAATCCCCTCAGAAATAAGAAGAGGCACGTGCCCAACAGTGGAATGTACATATGTTCAGTAATAAACCGCAACTCACAAAATTTATACCGAGGCACAATGATCTGCTACGATCGGAGCGCCGGTCACACCTAGTGGCAACATTGCGACGTAATATGCGTTGTAATAATCTGTGGAGTTAAAAAAAGAGAAGAGGAGGGTAGGAGGCGAGACAAGCTATACACATTCTCTTTGTGTTCGTGATGTGAACATCTCTCCAAAAACTTTAAAAAGGGACTACTCCAGAGTGTACCGTGTACAATCTAATTGCTAGTGTATTCTACCGTGTAGAAGAAGCTACCAGGAGCTGTCAACGTTTGCTGATCTTGGGAGGCTGGCTAGTAAGACCGTGAGTAGTTTGTTGCTGTTTTTGGTGTGATTTTGTGACTGCGGTAACTGAACGTTTCAGGGGATTTAGATTCTCAATACAGTCCACTATATCTAGTAAAATAATCCCAATCCGCCACATTTCTGGCCTTCGAGCCGCATATATTCGAATTAGTGATCTTCGAATAATAATTTTCTACCCTTAATTCGCGTCCCGTGGACGTCATATATTTGAGTAAAACTACGCATTTAATTAATTTAATATCCCTTATTTAATTTGCCTCTTTTTTACCTGGATGTCCATTGCTCGCGGTGCGTTTATAAAGTATTAATTTTGTAATTTGTTCATAATGTCGGATAAATTACAAATAAAAAGGCAAACACTTATTTTTAAAAAGGAATACCTATTTGCTAAATTACAAAAGGTTTTCGATATCGCGAGATCCCAAATAAATGATCCCACACAAATTCAGAATTTCTTAGCCGATTATTCCGAATTAGAAAGTGTCCGCTCAAAGTTTGAAGAAACAGTGTTAAATATTATTGAAATAGATATATCATTAAAACCGGAGACAAGATTGTCAACGCGAGAATTAGATACATTTGATGAACTTTATAAGGCATGTAGGTTGCAATATTTAAGATTAAAACCGGACGAGCAGGCATCCCTCAGTAGGAAAGATAGGAGTGATGTAAGGCCGTCATTACCTAAATTACGTTTATTTGAATTCGATGGTGATATTGAGAAGTGGACCACATTCTACGATACATTTGTATCACTTGTCCACAATCGAGATTTCGACGAAATAGATAAGTTTCACTATTTGCTTTCATGTGTTAAAGGTTCGGCATTAAACATTGTTAAAAAATTGCCCATAACAGCCGCTAATTATACTGTCGTATGGCAAAGTTTATGTAATAAATATCAAGATGATCGAATACTCGTGGGTAGGTACATCGACAAAATGATAAACTTTACGCCGTTAAATAAAGACACTACCGCAAATCTTACTTTATTTATCGAAACATTCGATCACTCTTTTAAAGCCATCGAGGCATTAAAAATTAAAAATTTACATGACTATTTATTTTGTCATTTAGCCTTACGTGGGTTGGATGCGCATACTAGGAGGCTTTTTGAAGAAAATCGGGATCAAAATTCACTTCCATCTTTTTCGGAATTAATTAGTTTTGTAAATAAACAAGTTAAAGTACTCGAACATTCATCGAATAGTACGATGTCGTTACAATCAAGAAATAAGTCTATATGTAACAATTACAAAGGCAACAATAATAACCACTACAAAAGTTATTCAAAGACAGTTTTAAATACTAATGTGTCAAATTATAATAAAAATAAAAAAATAATTTGCGCGCATTGCAATCAAAATCACATGATTTATAGGTGCGATCAATTTCGTAAATTGACCGTAGATAAAAGGATTGACCGTGTCAATACCTTAAAATTGTGTCATAATTGCCTAAAAGGAAATCATGATACCTCAACTTGTAAAAGTGAGATGTCTTGTGGTGTATGTGCGTCACTACATCATTATCTATTGCATAGGGAGCCAGTGAGCGACACGCTCGTGCCAACATCCACCCGTCCATTGTGCTCTGACTCGCAAGTGCAACAAGCACTCGTCTCGTCTCAGGCTATGAGTGACTCAGAGCGTTATACGATAGATACGCTTCATTCCAATAACGCTCACTCGGGTTACGGTGTTGTATTGGGAACGGCGCGCGTGTTAGTAATTGATAGTAGCGGCCAGCTTCAATACTGCCGTGCAGTTATTGACTCTGGAGCTCAGAGCTCATTTATTACAACTGAGTGTGCTCAACGTTTGGGCTTACCTCGAAATAAGTGTTCGTTTAATATTTATGGTCTCGGTGGAGAGGCTGTAAAAAATCACGGCATGATTACATGCACATTAAGGTCCCTACACACTGACCTACCTAGTTTTACACTGAACATGGTCGTAGTGACTAAGGTATCTGCTGATATGCCTAACGTTCGATTCCACTCGGACGTTATTAATAAATATAAGAATTTTAATTTAGCTGATCCATTATTTTATAAGCGTTCGCGTATCGATATACTATTGGGCAATGATATAGTTTCGGAACTAATTAAGGATAAACCTTATATTATTTCATCGGATATACCAAGCGTGATCGATACCGCTTTCGGGTTTGTTGTAAGTGGTAAACTTTATAGCAATGATAAGGACAATTTAAAAAATTATAATTTATCAGTCTCATTTGATGAACAAGAGTCTTTAGATCAAACGTTGCGTAAGTTTTGGGAAATCGAAGAATTGCCAAGCAAACCCTCGATTAATCCTTTGGAACAATTAGCGGAAGACATTTTCGTGGCTCGTTATAGTCGTACTGAGGATGGTACCTATTCAGTGCTGTTACCATTCATACCAGACCCGCCTCCGTTGGGCGCGTCACGAGCGGCAGCCGAGCGGCGACTCTTGTTCACCGAGCGCAAGTTGAATCGTTCACCTGTATTACGACAAGCCTATTCAGAGTTCATGTGCGAATATGAAAATCTAGGGCACATGGAGCTTTATTCGGGGGACACCCCGAGCAAATATGTGATACCTCATCACAGTATACTTAAGCCCAGTAGTTCCACTACTCCTTTGCGTGTGGTATTCGATGCCTCGGCTAAAACGTCCACGAACGTTTCGCTTAATGATATTCTATTGACCGGGCCTAATCTGTATCGAGATATTGGGGCTATAATATTGAATTTTAGGTTGTTTGAATATTGTTTGATTTGTGACGTATGCAAAATGTATCGGGCAATTAAACTGAATCAGTCAGATAGATGTTATCAACATATTTTGTATCGTCATTCGCCTAACGATGCCATTGACGTTTATGAATTAAAAACTGTCACTTACGGCTTAAGTTGCTCACCGTTCTTAGCTATCCGCACCCTCTTACAGTTAGCCTATGACGAGGAAGAACGTTTCCCACTCGCTGCAAAGGTTGTGCGCGAGGGCGTGTACATGGATGACATTCTATATTCTTGTAGTTCATTGTCACAGATATCTCGGTTACAAGATGAACTTTTAGAGATGTTTAATTCCGGTGGCTTTATACTCAAAAGGTGGGCGAGTAATAGTGCAAAAGTTTTACAACGCGTTCCGTTAGAAAACCGAGAGTGTCCTGTTACATTTATGAAAGATGGTAACGAATATTCAGTCAAAGTGCTAGGTCTGAAATGGTTCCCTTTGACTGACTGTTTTTATTTCACAGTAGATAAGACTGATAAAGTAACAACTAAACGTTCTGTTTTAAAATTATTAGCTTCTATTTACGACCCCGTGGGTTTTATTTCGCCGTGCATTTTCATCGCGAAAGAGATAATGCAAGATTTATGGAAGCTGGGCATAGGATGGGATGAGCAGCTGCCAACCGACGTAACTAAGCGCTGGCTTAATTACGTTGATGATCTCCCGCGACTAACGGCAATCAAGATAGATAGACATATGCTGCTACCAGAACAGACCGAATGTGAATTGGTCGCCTTTTGCGATGCAAGCTCTCGCGGTTATGCTAGTTGTGTGTATGTGATCAGTCGTAACGATAGAGGTCAAACTAAAGTACGCCTGGTGACGGCAAAATCTAAAGTAGCCCCCGTCAAACCATTAACTATCCCGAGGTTGGAATTAATGGCGTCAGTTTTGTTAAGCAAATTAATTAGATATGTCCGTGACATTTTAACTCGTGTAAAAATTACTCGTATTACTGCGTTAACCGATTCGACTATCGTGTTGACGTGGCTTCAGACAGAAGCTTACAAATTAAAGCCGTTTGTTAGTAACCGTGTTACTCAGGTATGTGAAGTGTTACCTCCACACTGTTGGCGTCACGTGAGTAGTGAGTGCAATATGGCAGACATATGCTCGCGCGGAGCGTCTCCGTCACAGCTCGTGGAGTGCAGTGAGCAGTGGTTGAAGGGCCCATCTTGGTTGTACGACGACTATTCGCAGTGGCCAGTGAGAACATTTATCAACCAACATGAAAGTAATACACCCGAAATGAAATCAAATCATACATTAGGCTCCTTCAATTTAATCACAAATGAAAATAATTCGATAGAGGAGACTAAGTTAGAGTTCTGTGACCGAATCTTTTCCAATTTCTCTTCTTATTATAAACTGCAACGTACGTTTGCTCGAATATTGAGATGGTTCCGACTCAAATCCGGTCACTCGAAGCAATCAATACTGACGACTAACGAATTAAATACTGCCCAAGATGTTTTAATTAAATTAGTACAAAGTGCATACTTCGCAAATGAAATAAATAGATTGTCAAAGGGCACAAAGTACGTTCCGTCGTTGAGAAAATTATCTCCATTTATTGACGAACGCGGATACCTCAGGGTGGGGGGTCGAATAAATTATTCAGCGTTACCTTATAACGCGAAGCATCCTCGTTTATTACCTAAAAATAGTAGATTTACCTTTTTACTTATTGAATATTTACATAAAAAATATTTACACGTAGGTCCACGCACCTTACAAAACATTATTAATAGTTTACGACGAAATGCTAGGGTTGAACGGTCATATTTAGCATTATTTATTTGTTATTCGACAAAAGCTGTACACCTTGAAGTCTTATCGTCGTTGTCATCGGACTGTTTCCTCGCGTGTTTAGACAGATTTGTAGCGCGACGCGGTGTGTGCTCCTTCCTTTATTCGGATTGCGGAACTAATTTCATAGCTGCTAGTAAGCATTTAACCGAAGTACAAAGATTTATGCTCGAACAAAAAAACAATATATTAGAGGGTTGCTCAAAACGACAAATTATATGGAGATTTAATCCCCCTGGTGCACCACATATGGGTGGGCTCTGGGAAGCTGGAATTAAATCCGCCAAGTATCTATTAACGCGAGCCGTAGGAGAAAAAAGTTTGACGTTCGAGGAACTCACAACAGTGTTTTGTAAAGTAGAAGCGATTCTCAACTCGCGGCCGCTTTGTCCGTTACCAGCTAGTGATAATCCTGATGAGTTCAACGTTTTGACTGCGGGACACTTTCTAATTGGAAAAGGGTTAACAGCAGTACCTGAGTATAATGTAGAGGATATAACAATAAATCGATTATCACGTTGGCAATATATTCAAAAATGTTCACAAATGTTTTGGCGTAGATGGAGTCACGAATATCTAAATACGCTGCAACAGAAAGCAAAGTGGCATTCGGATAGATCTAATATAAAAATAGGTGATCTCGTAATCATAAAAACTGATAATGTACCGCCGTGCGATTGGCCTTTGGGTAGAATTGAGGCTCTTCACCCCGGTCCAGATGGGATTGTTCGTTGTGTTACGCTTCGCACTCAAAAGAGTACTCTACAGAGACCAGTTAATAAACTGAGTCCTCTACCTTATTCAAATTAGTTTTTACGTGTATTAATATTTTTTTTTCTCGTTGAGGACATTCTGTGTCTCAGCGTTATTTTGCATGTTCCGTAGCTTAAGTTATAATATTTTCTCTAATATCTTTTTCATATAGTTAGGAGAAACCATCAAGATGGTTTCGGTGGGGGGTGTGTTCAGTAATAAACCGCAACTCACAAAATTTATACCGAGGCACAATGATCTGCTACGATCGGAGCGCCGGTCACACCTAGTGGCAACATTGCGACGTAATATGCGTTGTAATAATCTGTGGAGTTAAAAAAAGAGAAGAGGAGGGTAGGAGGCGAGACAAGCTATACACATTCTCTTTGTGTTCGTGATGTGAACATCTCTCCAAAAACTTTAAAAAGGGACTACTCCAGAGTGTACCGTGTACAATCTAATTGCTAGTGTATTCTACCGTGTAGAAGAAGCTACCAGGAGCTGTCAACGTTTGCTGATCTTGGGAGGCTGGCTAGTAAGACCGTGAGTAGTTTGTTGCTGTTTTTGGTGTGATTTTGTGACTGCGGTAACTGAACGTTTCAGGGGATTTAGATTCTCAATACAGTCCACTATATCTAGTAAAATAATCCCAATCCGCCACAACATATATAGGCTGTATATATTTTTTTATATTTTTTGATGTAGTTAGTTGTAAGAATAATATTTTATTTACTTTTTCATTAACCTTTTTTTAATTAGATATTTTGCTGTACTGTCTCTTATAGAATAGAATAGAATATTTTTTTATTCAATATACATTACATGTGTAATTCTTATTGAGTCATTTTTTACTTTACCACTGGTTCGAAAAAAACCCTCTGTCCTGGGAAGAACCAGCAAGAAACCCAGCGGGCGGGCAAGCTCTGCTTGTCTTAATAGTTGACTGTGTGCCTTTTGGCATGAAGTCCACCATATGGAATACTTTGTGCATGTAAATAAATAAAATAAAATAATGATTGAGAACATCAGATACATTATATGGAAATGATGTTAATAATTAATAATAAAGAAATTAATGTAGAATGCATTAGTATATCAAGTGTTATTCCCAGAGGTTGGTTACCAGTTAAGAACTCAAACTTTTTAATTAGATACAGGATCCAATCTACTCTCTGGTCAAAACTATACATAACATCATATATAAAGGTTATACATATTTTCCAAAATAATCATCAGGGTCAAAATTATTAAAGGATTAGAGAAGAAAATATTTTCATACAAAAAGTAAAGTACCAGCTTAAACATGCCTAACTGCAGAACGTAGACCTTCTATCATTTCCCAGTGTTTGGACAGAGAGCATCTTGCTGCCAAAATGCATATTCCATTTTTTAATTTCTCAGATGTAAAAGTTACCTCTTAACCTTTCACTGACAAGCACAAAGTATGAGCACTTAAAATTGCATCGAATAGTTAACGGTGTCAACAGGGATTGAATTTGTTTTATGAATATTTTTTACGTGTATATAGCCCGTAAGCTTTTCTTGGATTGCACCAGTCATTCTAGAGGGCCTGTACCCCTCCTAAGCTATGTCAATATACAATAAGTTTTTATTTCATTGCTGTCTCACTCAATCTAAATATAAGAATAAATTTAAAAAAATCACTGGCTTGCATTTAGTAGAATAAAAAAGAAGTAGTACACCATACATTTCTTTTTCTTTTAAGAAAACATTACCCCCACACTAGGGTTATCTCTTGTATCGTCCAGGCAGTTTATGTTATGAAATTTTAGTATTTCCATAATACATCTGCATAATTTCAGGTTATTCACACATCTCGAAGTAGGTAAAAATTGAACTATAAAATTCAATTATGACTTAATTAAATAAATGGTCAAATTAACATAAAATTTCAAATTAGAAACAAAATAAAAAATAAAAAGTTAATTCAATGTTTGCCGGTTATCCCAGACAATCAGGGGGTCATCCTCCAAATACCGCATTCCCCTTTAATGATGTTACACACTAATAAGCTGATAATATTATTTTATTGTTTGGGTGAAATACACCAAATGTACTAACCTATTTTTTATCATTCAGACATTCAAGTTTCCTCATCACCAAGCACATTATGTATGTACTGGAGCCATACTACAGCTATATCATGGTTGTGTCTTGAATGATGTTGGTCGGCTCAATTGGGGAATGACCACACTCTCACAGAATACCAGCTTTATACTATTGTATTTAGTATGGTGAGTGTAGAGAACAAGATTACCCATATTACTGTAAATGAGGCATACCATCATTGTCCTTCAAGAAGATAGATGTAGGTGTTTATAGAACACAGCATCCAGTGTGTGTGACTGGGCACCCTTATTCTATATAGAAAAAAATTGCAATTGAGGATTTCATTGATACCAATGAGGTTCTAGATGGGTTTGCTTGTGTATTGTTTAATTTACAGTAAGTGCTTAGGTGTCCTTAGGTGGCAAATCACCCTGTATTACCATAATAAAAGCCTATAAATATTTGTTTTAAATGCATTTTTTATGGGAAAAATTACTTAACATTTAAGTCATCTAAAAGGTGTTCTTTCCAGAATACAGATTATTGAATACTGATAGTATTGAACATTCTAATAGTAATTTAACTTTTAATGCTGTTACAAACAATATAATACACAATAAGTACACTAATTCTCACCTTGAATTTATAGATTTTTTAATAAGCCATGCACTCAATGCCGCGGTAGCAGCAATTGCGATTTTTACATCTGTCCTAGAAGTAATTTTACTAAAACTTGGTGCCATTGTTTATGCAATAAATTAAATAACAGTCAAAATATTACTAGAATTCCATAAAATTGCTTATCGTTGACACATAATTATAACTATTTCACAAATTTCTGATAGGAACACTTCCTATATCACTTCACCATACACCACTAGTCACTACTAAATCAAAGAGTAAAATAAAAATAATACAGGTACTATAGAAAATAATATTACACGCCAAGAACCAAGAAATACAATACTCTACCGAGAGCTCTACACGTAGCGCTTCTTACATATTACTAATAAGATATTAGTTATTAAGAATTTTTTTATAGAACCATACGTTTTTGCTTTCTACGCTCTACTCGTAAAATGACAAACGTTAAATTGTCAAATGTCAATGTCAATTCGTCAATTGTCATTCTCATTTGTCAATACATGATGTTTTTTTTTTGGAGTTTATGGCCTGGTATCTAGACCTTTAGGCCAAGTCTTAAGTATTTTTATTCGGTTTATTGTAATTTCCCCACTCCTTCATAGTATACTGCTTCACAATATGTTGATGCGTCACATTGTGCAGTTCTTGGGAGATTTTGGCGGCAACTTGATCCAGCAGACAGCTGATAGTTGGCGATGGTATCTAAAGTTGCCTATGCAAACAAACAGCTTATCTTGAGAATCCATCACCATCAGAGCACTTGTTTCACTGTTTCCACTAATAGTTCACATGCGTAGACACTTAATACACAAAATCGCAACACTTTTACATATCAAAGTCCACTTCAAACCATTATTTAAACAATAATACAGGAGCAGCAAACCGCCGCCGGTCAATTTCCCGCCAAAACTCCCAATACATGATGTGATGTGTAAATGGCATAGATATAAGAAAAATAGAGGATAAGCAGTAAATTGCATATATATTTTTTGGTTATACAAATATCATGCAAACATGAACCTTGCCAACAAAAATATATCTGTCTTATTCTCACACGTTATGATTTTCAAATGTAAAAGAAGATAAGTACATATCTTAGACTTCAATTTTCTGTTAACAGTTTTCATAATGTCACTAAGCTCCACCTTGAAGCCATAGACCAATCCTCTATCTACGCTTGAAGCATGACGCCATTTTAGGATGACGTTCGTTTGTGGTAGTTCGTCTGTCATCTAAGCCTTGTTCGGAGTTATTTTGCAGTGTTACAGTGAATTTTGACTATTTTGGTGCTTTTTGTTCATTAGTAAAGGATAATTGAGCAAAAACAACATGACAAAGTGTTGCATCAATGGATGTAATTCAAATGCTCGTGAAGAAAAGAACTTGAAAATAGTGTAAATCGTAAATTTTCTATAGTAGATTTTTTCATCAAAAGATTTGATGTTAAGATTATTTTTGATTGGTACTTAAGGATGCATAATATTTATTTTAGGTTGCCAAAAAATGAAGGCCTTCAAAAATTGTGGATTGATAATATAGGCCAGGTAAACATAAAACCTGCAGTAATAAGCAGAATATGCCCCTTGCATTTTGAAAAAGAATGTATAAATAGAACGCTGGATGTAGTTCGGCTTAAGGGTGATTTGGTTCATGTGTCTAAAATAAATTTTCTGACTAAATAATATTATTTCGTCACGAATAAATGATTTTAATCAGTATACATCATTGTTATTTTATTTATTTTTAATCCTTACTCTCTCGTTTACTTCCAGTATCCACCACTAATTACGCTACTGGTGGAAGTCATTACAACTTGCAGGTTGTAAACTCTATAAAATTGATATTTTGTCGTGTTACACAAATGGGATATAATGAGAAATGAGTATGGAAGTAGAAGTCTGAAGTGGCGCAGCCACCCCTATTGATCGAAATGTTGCATGGAAATTGGTTGTCATATGGTATGAAGTATGAACATGGAATGCTGAAGATTGATTAATACGTTAGGATAGTTAAATGATTAATGGATTGTGTGTACGGTGGTATGGTTAGAAAGGGGCTGCTCAACTCGATTAGATTACTGTGATAAATAAATAAATAATCTTTATTATCAAAAAAAAAAGAGATGACGGCTACTAACTATGTATGAAAGAACACATGCTCCACAAACTTTAAATAAATCAAGATAAAGGTCAGTCTACTGCACGTTCATGGTGAGTTGAACTGGTAACCGACCATTACCACGAAAGAAAGGTGTTGTCGAATCTTTATGGCGGCTTGGAAGTTAAGAGCGAGCGCTAGTCCGTGCAGATATAGTTGAAAGAAAACTTGATGGTGTCTCAGGTCACAGTACGTAAAGCGAAGCGTGAAGGTACAGGACTTGCGCTCGCAACTAACTTCCCAGCCGCTACATAGTCTATATATATGATATAATTCACGCAACCTGGACGCATACCGTTGGGGCTGGTTCGATGTGGTGCAGGACAAAACCACTGGGAAAAACTTAGGGGAGACTTCTGTCTAGTGGGACAGCATGGGCTGGACAAAAAAATCATACGAAGCCTAATACATTGCCTATAGTGGTGGTTTCGTTAATCTCTGCAGAGGAGAAAAAAATGCATGCGCCAACCCATATGTGCAGATTGCCGTCGTTACGAAAAAACGTTAGCTCGTTGCACGAACTCAGTATAATATTCTGGTGCACGTTGTATACGTGTTCTGAAAAGAAAGGAGTTAAAGCTCCAATCAAGTGCTCTTTCCTTGGTCTCTTCGCTCACTTTTGACTGTTGCTTCACCATATCTTAAAGCAATTACAGTTTCAAAACTTTCCTATTCTGAGTTGAACGTAAGATTTATTTATTTATCATCTCAATACAACTATTATTACAGGATTAACGCAATGCAATAGTGTAGTGATCTAATATTTGTTTATTTAATATATACTTATGAGATGGACAATACGTCATAATTTATATAGCATCGATACTGAAAATATTGACAAAAACAACGCTATTTCTTGTGGGTGGAGTCGTCACCATATTTGAGAAACACTTGACTTCAGATCACGATACCAAATGCCATATCCCCTATTTTTCTTATATCTATGGTATGGAGTGTAGAGTAGAAGGAGGACCATCTCTGTATATGAAAAGTGTCCCTAAAAACGTGTCCAATAAGGGTGGCGCTGCAGTAGCATAGGATAAATTAAAAAAGAAGCGCCAAAAGTATTTAGAGTAAGATGGAGAAATAAATAAGGACCGATCAATCCGCTTGGTTTTGTACTACGTAAATAGTTGAGATTTTGTATATTGGCGTTTTACTAACTACTCTAGTCATGAAATATTTGAATTCAGCTGACTTCACTCCGTTCATAACAGCTATCTTCATATCGTAGTTTTTCAGACGCCAGCGCTATTGTGGTAGGTTTTGGAACCTCTATTTACAGTAAATAGTAGGACACTTTTTCAACCTTCGCTCCTTATAAGATGGTTCTCCTTGTACTCTACACTCCATAATCTATGGTAGTAAAGTGGGGTTCTTCTTCTTAATAACTGGCTTTACGGCTCTGGGATCTAGCCCTTCTGAGCCTGAAGTTACAATATATTATAATAATTGTCCTTCATAGTATACTGCTTCACAATATGTTGATGCGTCACATTGTGCAGCCCTTGGAAGATTTTCACGGCAACTTGAGCCAGCAGACAGCTGACGGTTGGCGATGGTATCTCAAGACGCCTAAGCAGACAGGCACCTTATTTTGAGAATCACATCACCATCAGAGCACTTGTTTCACAGTTTCCACTAATAGTTCACATGCGTGGACACTTAATACACAAAATCGCACCACTTTTACATATCAAAGTCCACTTCAAACCATTATTTAAACAATAATACAGGAGCAGCAAACCGACGCCGGTCAAGTTCCCGCCAAAACTCTAGTAAAGTGGGGGTAATTGTGAGTACATAGATATACTATAAACTCCAGTGGAGTTATACTATATCTATGATTGAGTATGACATAGATAAATATATATGTAGCGAGGAGTGTGATCTTGTATTATAGAGGTCAGTGAGTATGGCTGTATGGCCCGTATTAATAAACTTTACGCAACGACGAAATCAAGTGCGTATCATTTGATACGCCCTCATTACGATATCAGCATCTCAAGTTCGTTGCTAATTAATAAACAGAAAAACAGTATCTCAAGACACTGTACTTAGGGATACTGTTCTTTGACTTGAGGGCACGATTACGTTACAGACCGACGTTTAGAATATCATTCATCACGTTTCGTTTTTGCTATATCGTTAGATTTATTGAATACTTTTATTTTGATAAAACATAAATAAATAGAGCTGTATCACGTTATAAAGTTGTTTTCTACTTTCGAAAACCTTAAATTGTTGGAACTATTTAACTATATGCACGTATTTCTAAATACGAACTAAATGTTTACTAATTAATTCAATATGTACAAATAACCTAACGCTTTATAGCGACGACAGCGCCAGAGTCAAATATGAAACTAACGTATCATTTTTGACACTGGAAAAGATCTTGATTACTTAACTCTGATTTCGCGGTAAATTTAAGTTATACAAAAATGGAAAGAAAGAAGCATGTATTTACTCCGATTAAGAAAAAATTCTTTCTCGGTATTATAAAAAATATAGGGCTATAGTGGAAAATAAGGATACCGATGGCACGTTTCTACGTATTAAAAATGAGGCCTGGAGCAAAATAACTGTAGAATACAAATGCTAGTCCGTACGCATCTAGCTAGGTAGGTAGTGCGGGATGAACCACGTAGCAAGAGTAGCAATTGCTATGGGCCCCTCGCAAAAGGGGGCCCCGCGTATACAAACCCACCCAACTCCGCATGAGCGTAATTTTTTAAGTGAAATTTATTAAGACGTGGTATTCTGGTAATTTACTTGATGTCACAAAAACGTGAAACGTTAGATCATCAACGTCAGACAGTCGGTAACCGATTATTTCGTTGGCAAAAGTAATACAAGGAATTTCATACGGTAAACGCACAAGTTCTACAAAAAGTCGCTTATATAGAATTTGAAAAGAAAATTCTTGTATAGGATTTGA